TATATAAGTATATTTAACTAAGTAGTCTCAAATAGAATGATAACTTGTGATAATATAGCAATGTCAATCTAAACTTCACAAGATGTACGAATGTCAATAAAGGCTGAAAAGATGCAACCCTTAACAACGGTAATAATAACTGAAACATATAAACGATTGCAAGTAATATTCTTGTCATTGTCCCATACAATAATTTGTATATTTTTGTTATATTCCAATGAGTAGAAACAAAATATTTCTGACGTTTCGTGACTTAATGTAAGCCACTTCTTCAGAGTAAATAAAAATGTAACATAATATTTCTACTCATTGGGATATAATAAAAATTTATTTATTATTAACTCTCTACCCAATGCTCAATTCATTTGAAACGATCAAGTCCAATCTTGATGTTGATACCAATAATGTGTAATATCCTAAACCGAAGTTTCAGTAAACTTGAACGAATATTATTTCATGAATAAACATATATGTATCTATACTAATAACTCCATCTGGAGCCCCTCTGGAGTTACTATGGGTCCCGAATTCGGAAAAAGGAGAAGGGTTGGGCATGAAGTTAGCGACCACATCCCGTGGAAAACTAACTCGCTAAAAAAACGCCAACCAGAAAAAAGATAATTCAAAGCACTATCTATACTTATATATGACAATATATTTATGATGGATATAATAGGGATACATGTGAAATTCATACTTCTCGTTATGTAATATGTTCCATTATTGGAAATGAAACAAAACTTTAAGCCAAGTAATGACAAAAAAATATTAAATCTTATCAGTTAAATAAATGTAGTAAGATGAAATCTTATTGGATAGAGAATAAATTTATGTAATTCAGTTAAACAGAACTATAATTAAGAAATGTATCTTGTGAAGTTATAGAATTTGAAAGATTCTAGTTAATCCCATTACAGTTTAGTATGTTAAGCTTTAAATAATCTCAGAAATGTTATCAACCTATTCAAAACAACATTATTATTTAGAAAAAAAATGGTTAGTAGTGGAATTCAGGACAAAACGTTTCGTCATTTGTGGTGGCTTTGATTCATTAATCGATCATCTTGATAACTGTTATAATATAAATCTCAATGGTAATGAGAAGCGGCAACTACAGTTTATTAGGGGATATCACGGATCACAAAGCTATAAGCACATTGAGCATATTTGTAGTGGAGAGGTGAACAAGTATATACGTGCAATTACATAAGCAAATTTATAGTCAAATTGTATAAGGGCATAGTGAGGCAAAGCAAAAGCTAATAATAGGATTTGAGCATATATATATGCATGGGGAGGAGAATGAATCATCGAGTGATATTTAAGCGATCAACATTTTAATTAGATTCTGTCATATGCTCTAGTGATCATAACGGTACAAAGAAATTTGCGAATTGTTACTATTCAAATAACATTTTCTGTTAAGTAAATTAATGAGAGGATTTAACCAAAATAAACCACAATCGAAATCGGTTTGTAGGATAATTGCTATAGGTTCAATAGAATATTAGATGTTGACTACTAACAATCTTAGTCATTAAAATCAAACATTTCAACCGCAAATGTTGTATGTAACTAATCCATTGTTAATGTAATGTATAGGTTTTGACTAAACTATCAGGTAAAATGTTGTAACCGCCTAATTTCATTCAGTGAAATTTGTACAAATTTAGTTTATATCTAATACTGGTGACTTATATTTTTAAAAAAATAGTGTAGCTTTTAAAAGAGAATAATATAGCTGGCTTGTGCAGTTGATTCCCTTCACTTATTTAAACAAAACTTAAATGACAACATTTGAAAGATACAATGAATTTATTATATCGGTTTTCTTCTCAAGTACACATACAGGCTGGTGAGTAATCAATTTTGATGACAAATGATCTGACACTATTTCCATTGGTAAGATCATCGCTGTTTTGTTATCACCAGTAAGATAGTAATGAGGTATATACTTCTCAATTCAATATATTGAATGCTCGATGGTTCATATATAAGAATAATGACAATAATAACTAAACTATAAAACAATAGTAGTATCTTAAGCGATCATTTGTCTAATAAATGATTGAAGGTATTGTTAGTTAAAATATACCAGTAATTTTAGCGTATAGTAAACGTTTTCAGTTTATTATATATGATTTACTGCATTGCTTGAAGTTCATTCAGAGTTGTAAAGTTTTCGACATTTCATCCTAGTTCGTTATACTTCGACAACTCATCTTTTTAAAAACCGACAAGGTATACTGTTCATTAATACACTCTGTAACATTCTATTACTAGGAAAAAGTGTCTGCTAATATAGTAAGCATTGATAGACTATATGGTCTTAATTATAGGTGTCTTTTAAAGATCGAGCATGTATAGTGAAACAACTGTGTAAATAATTCAGATGTTAGGTTTAGAATACTAATGAAACATGATAAATCGGTTAATGAATTCGTCAATCACTATTAACTAAAATGGTTATAACATAGTGTCATATAGCGTTATTGATTGTTACATATATGTCAGTCTCTATTTTGTTTATAACTAACTTGATGAAACTTCATTAGATATTATCTATGAAATACTACATGAATATCGATTTGATTAACTCTACAGATAATGGTTTTATATTAGGACATTAGCATATCCTTCTCCCAAGTCTAGTCATTGATTAATGCATGATTAAGTCGACGATTTAAAAAACAAAACAAAAAAAAACAATGCAACCAATAGTTTACCACATTTAAACAACTGAATGACTTTGATTATAGATTTAACCTAGTGATTAGAGAAAACGAGAGAAAAAAACATTTTTTTTCAGTGTGTGTATGTGGGGGGGGGAATATTAAATGAATTAGATAATTTGTTTGAAGGTATGAAACATTTCAGTTCGATTAATTTTTTATTCGTTATATGACATGATTGTTAAATGAATAATTGAAATAGACTATGCTATTATATTGAATAGACTTGCAAAACGTTTCGAACATGTACAGTTTATGGTTTAATGTATATACCATCTTACATATATACCCCTTAAACATGTGTTGTTATAATGAATATGTTGGGGGTTATGTGTATTCATCATTGAGATTGCAACGGACATTTTAATAGTAATAATAAAAATAATGATAATAATGTCTACGCATAAAATCATAGAAGCCTTATAAGTGTTTATTAAGTAATAAATTAGAGTTATATTTTAACGTACTGAACATTTTGTCTACATGACAAAATTCTTTTCGTACTGTTTAATTGAATCCTCTCATTGATGTATAGGACTCTGTAATTGATCAGTCTGTTATTAGCATATGTACATTGTGTTCAGATTGTTTCAGTATTATCTTCAGACACAAGCATTCTAATCAAAGATAGATAGTGGCTAACGATAGAATCCAGGATGTGTGTTTCATCCTACTTGGGACTCATCAAGTCGATGTACCTGCATTCTGGAGTTGATGTCCACTCCTAATAGCTACTTACTTTTCCAATGGAGTAAAGCGTTAAATTCACTTGGTAGTGTTTACTTGAATCTCCCCATTGATGTCTGGGAGTGTAAATAATCAGTCTCTTATTGGCTTATGTGCATATTTTGCATATTACCTTCATTCACAAGCATTCTAAGCAAAGATGGTTATTTAAAAAGAAGAAATTCAACCGTATTTATAAATGAATGAAGGTTTCGAAAATAACATAGTTCGTGTATAATTCATGATGACTACCCTGTCATGTTAACAATTTATCTAAAAGAGAATCTATCATTTTGACAGTTCAAAGTTTTGTAAAACCTTGTTGAAATATACTCCATTTGAATTCAATACACAAATGTTTAAATCAAGCTGACGATCTTCATATAATTTTCATAGGTATAGTATGACTCATGAAAGTCAATAATCTTTTTTTTCTACAATGAACTGAATGACTTCGGTGGTCCCTATGAATTGTACACTTTTACATTATGGTTATTATAAACTCAATGAAATGTCTATTAAGAATAAATATGTTATTGGTTTAGTTTAATCTAGTGGTGGTTAAGATTTGTAACTGAACTTAGTTCGAGCAGTAGTGACTATTTCCATTATTATGTGAGTAATAAAATAGTTTATTCTGGTTATTTTCATAGGTTTTAATAGATATTCTTTGCAATGTAAACTTCAATGGTTTAAAAAAGTCATGACTTTGTATTCTTTAAGCTGAATGGTTCAATTGTAAAGCTTTCCTTAGGGTTCCAGAAGATAGCAAGAGCGTCTTCTCCAAGAAGAAGTATACTTTCAAAAAATTATTTCACAAGTGCTAAATTATTTATTTTGAATGAATGTCTGTTTTACTAGTTATCACCTTGTACTTTACATGCCGTTTTATTCACATTGACTGCTTTATTTGACTGACATATTATCATTTGATCGGTTAACTTATCTAATATAAACTGCCATACTGAAACATTTATATCAATATGCTTAGATAATTGTAAATAGACATTAGATTGGAAAAAAAATACCAAGTTTGGGGATCAAAGAATAACAAAACCTATCAAGATTCAAAAACTTGTGCACATATCCAGTCAAAAATAGACTAACAATAATAGATACATTAAGTTCCAAGAGAATGATTTTTACGAAGTTTGCTTCTACTCAGAGTATATACACTGATAATGTCATCTACAATAATAATAAACTACTTTCCGGTTCAGATAACATAGCAACAATTAAATTTCAATATTTCTTCAAAATAACTCCGCTTGTAGCCCCTCTGAGGCTACTTACGGTCCCAAAACCGGATAAAGGAAGAGGGTTGTAAATTAAGTTAGCAATCCCATCCTGTAAAATACTAACTTGTCAAAAAACCATAGAAAATAACTCAAGCCATCATTAATAGATTTTACAAAAGTTACATGTAATGTCAAGGTAAACTCAATTGTCTCTCATCAAACATTAATTACTTTAAAAGTTAGTCTTACCAATAAAATATTTAATTATTTATTATAATTAAAACAACACATAATAATAACTTACCTATGGATTGTTGTTGCTGTTGTTGTTGTTGTTGTTTTTGTTTTGTTTCTTCACTGACGTCAATAATGTGTTATTGTTATGAAAACCCAAAAATAACCAATATATAAACTAACTATTTAATAAATTAAACAAGTCAATACTGTTTCTATGGATAATTTTCTTTTCGATGCAAGATATTTTTCTTTTTTTTTTCAAATATATCTAATAATTCCTAAGGATACATATTTATATACATACGGATTCTTTGAGACATTTTCTAATATCCATTATGAAACATCATTAGAAACATCATTTATAATTTAATGTATGCAATACATTATAGTTGAGTATTGTTCACAAATTAAATAGTATTTAATAGTATGTTTTTGTACCTGGTAACAACTAATCATGATAGGTTGGTTCTATAAAGAAGTTACAGAAGTATACAAATTAAATTAAATGATATAGAAGATAGACAGAAAAATATCTCATTTGTTTAATATTTACATGAAGAGTTATCCTTTTTTCTCTTGCATATATTAAGTTTAATGTAATGTGTACATCATGATTTTCGTATGAACATAGTATTAGTTGTTATAATAATAATAATAATGAAAAAAAAAGCTCGTTTCTAGTTGACTTTTTCCCATCCACTCAGCATTCACTTCTCACCCATATCCATTTGCACACACATACAACAAAGACATATAAATATACACATATATAGAGAGAGATAAACACATACATGGAGATAATAATAAATGCACCAGTTATATTATTATTGTGTGAACAGAAATTTATGCAGATCACTCAAACTAGATAGATAACCTTATAGAAATAAAAAGGCATAAAATAATCGCCATCATTATTTAATATATAAACGAAATAGTTAAATTTATTCTATAAAAGATTTAACTTCTATGTACACATAAACTAACCCATGTGCATATAAGTAGTATATTTGTTGTTGTTGTTGTTGTTGTTGAGGGTATTCAAGGTAAAGTTGTTTATAAAAAGGTATGAACAATAAATTATTATAATTTATGATTAGTATTGTTGTTATTAAATACTACTGTACATGAGATTTATTTTTATTAAAGATTATAGGAGACAAAATGATAATAATGTATATTAGAGTATTATTAATCTTTCATCAGTAAATATTTTATTTAATTGGTTTAAATGATTTTCATATATGAATTTGTTTATCATTACAGTTGAAAATTATGACAATAGTGGTTTCATGTGAATAAATAGGGTAGTAAACATATATACATATGTACACACATACATATACACACACGCGCATAGAGATATGCATTACAACCTACTTTGAATACTACTGCTACTACTACTGCTACCACCACTACTACCACCAATACTACCACCACTACCACTACTACCACTACTACTACTACTGCCACTACTACTACTACTACTACTACTACTACTAGGACTATCAACAAAAATATTGATGGTATCCGTATTAGATTAAAAGTGAAATTTATTTTTTTTTTGTATTTTTTATTATGATAATTAAAATTGTTTTTTATTTACTTATTTATTTATTTATTTATTTAACTGTTCATGCAATAAACATTATTGGTTTTTGTGTCTATATACAGAATTTTAGAGATGAGTATTTTCTCTTGTCTAATAAACAACTAAATGGTTTTAATAATGACAAAGATAGAGTAAATCATATGTTAATAAACAGATTAATAATTGCTTTATTCAAAATGATAGATTTAGTAAGATAAGGTATTCCCAGTATACATTGTTAGGTATTTCAGCAAAATGCAGTTTAGCTAGTTCTATTCTGAAAATTTGTTGTTTGCATAATATGTGTACTGTGTTGCTAATGTACATGAGTGTTGTTCCTACTTGGAAGTAAACAAGTTGGAGATATTGATTAGGTAAGCGTTTATTCTCTTCTTCAATTTCATAAAAGTATATAGGGTGTTATTTGCACAGATTCTGTTTATTTTTATACTTCACAGTAGAGCTTTCTTCATGAACAATATGTTGAAACTATTCGTTATATAGGATTATATATACTGTCAATAAACATCTTGGAAAGGAAACAACATCGACACAATGCATATACAAGTAATATCGAAACAACCACCTTGAATAACAAATGTAGTCCTATTTGTGTGAAATATGACACCTTAAGGTTCTAAGTCTGATCATATATCGAGTCTTAGAGATTGTAAACTGTTATGAAAGTAGTGTTAAGTACGCCATGATATCTCATGGTTTCATGGTTAATGTCAGACAGTCATATAACTTATCTTCCACTTGAAAGAATCTCTCTAATACAAATACTTTGTAAATAAAATTTAATTTCATTCAATTTTCAAAGCTTCTTTAAAGTTAGAATTTTTAAATATATTTTCTATAATGTTTATATATGGAATATACATTTTTGAATTATAAAATAGAAAAGAATAAAATAGGTCATAGTCAATATTCCAAACATTCAAAGTTGAACTTATCTTGTTAAAAAAAAGACCATTTGAATTCAATTGGTATTACACAACTCAGTGGATATGTGGATAATACGATAGCGTTTGAAGTGAACGGTATAGGTTACGAAACCTGGAGTGATTATCAAATTTGGGATGCAAATACATTCAGCTGACGAGTTTCAAATAGGACGAAAGGCGCCGCCTGGATTCCACTGTTAGCCACTATCCATCTTTACTTTTTTTTTAAAAAAACGTTTTTTTTGTTGTTTTGTAATATATATGTATTGAATTAAGATTTTTAATTCATAAGTTTGTGAAATATTCATACCATGTAACTTTTTTATAAAACAAACTTTGAATTAAATAGAACAAAAGAAATGAAATTGGAGTAACACAAAATACCGACAGATTAGGCAAATACTCAAATGATATCTAATACTTTTATTTTCGAAATAAAATGATAATAGAACTAGGCTTATCATATTCATTACTTTTAAAACTTTGGTAAAACAGTAATAACTTAATGATTCAAGTACAGTTATATTAACGTTGGATTACTTCAAAGAAGTTAATACAGATCAAGTCATAAAATGTCATTAGAAAACAAATTCACTTGAACTAAATTTATCAATTTAAATGTACATTTCAAAGCACATACACTAGAAGAAAACGAACAAAAGTATACCTTTGAGTTTTGTTGAAATTTTGTTCTCTGAGCTAGATGATTTAACCGCGAAGCTGATGATGCCGTTCAGAAGAACGATGAAAGTTCCACGATTAAACCATCCAGCTCAGAGAACAAACCTCTATCAATTCACTTTGTATCGTTTTACTTGAATTTTCCCATTGGTGTTTAGGACTGAAATTGATCAGTCTCTTAATGGCTCAGGACTCAGTAGCTTAGTGGATAACGCTATGGTGTTTGAAGCGAATGGTACTGGGTTCGAGTCCCAGGGTGACCATTAACTCTGAGATGCAGGTACATCCGGCTGACTAGTCCCAAATAGGACGAAGTGACTTGCATTTAAACCTGATTCCACTACTAGCCACTATCCATCTTTGTTTAAAAACTTCTATCAAAATCATTCATCTGAGCTACAAATGTTCTCTACCATTTCAACACCTTTGAGTACTTTTCAAAAAAATATTTAAGATTAATAGGTTGTGTAGCCGAAAACAAGTTTTCCATGGTGGTCTAGCTTCGAATGATTCATGATTTCAACTATTATATCTTGGTTGTGAGATTTTTGCTTAATAAACTAATAGTCAATCTATTCATTATAAAATGATTCTTCTTTACTCATTGATGACTTTCATTGAACCGATTCTTAAAACTGATGTAATCTCTTTAGATTTATAATATGCAAACAATGTCTTTCTAGTCAGTTTTTGAATTCTATTTTCCAAATGTATGAATATTGTAAGTAAACTGCCCTCGTACACTTGTTTTAATTAAATAATTATGAATGCTAACTGTATTCATTTACGCTCTATTATGAACATATTGCAATGGTAGTTCTTTTTATCTACTGAAAAAAGACATAAATATATTTCAGTATAGGGATTTGGAGATGGATGAATTTTATTGGTATCACGAAAAGGTGGCGTAATACCATATGTTGATCAAAGTTAGACTAATACATCATTGGATACTGGCTTAGTGGTTCGGTTCCCGAATGTGAGGTATTGAGTGCACACTGCTGAAAAGTTCTATGCTAGGACTAAACGACCGTCCAATGTCCCTAGGTTTTCATTAGTTGTCTAATTCAGATCAATTCGTGATAACAATAAAATATATTACAATCCCATCACCTTAGCTTTGATGGATAGTAAAATAATTGTGCCAGGTGAAATGGAAAAAGTAGGCTTATAAAATACAAATGGAAGGTACTGACAATTACGAACGTTTATAAAACGTTTTTCGAAAAGTTATAGTTAGAATGTATTTTTAGGTCTTTATTGTCGAACTGCACAGTTTTAGCTCGGAAACGCTTATTGAACCATAAAGTTATTACTATTATTACCATTTAATATTACTTTACGTACTTACTCCTTTGGCCTTGACGATTCCATTTGAGGGCTTGCCTTGTGACACAGTTGTGTGCTTTCTTCAATGTGTGTCCTATCCACTTCCAGCACTTTTTCCTGATTTGTTCTTCCACTGGGATCTGATTTGTTCTCTCCCATAATAGATTGTTGCTGATAGTGTCTGGCCAACGGATCTGAAGTATTTTGTGTAGACAACTGTTAATAAACACTTGTATCTTCTGGATGATGGCTTTAGTAGTTCTCCAAGTTTCCACCCCATACAGTAGAAGTGTGTTTACATTTGTATTGAAAATTCTGACTTTGGTGTTGGTTGACAGTTGTTTTGAGTTCCAGATGTTTGAAAAATTATCCAAACCATTTAATATCACTGTATGTTTTAATGAGAATGGGGTTGTAAGCAGAGAATCAGAAACCGGAAAATTAGATTGTTCTTATTTTTAATTAAATTGGGAAACATATAACCCTTTTAGAGAGACTATCATTTATAGATGACCTTCGAGCAAATCTTAAATGAACTTGAGAACGTCCACTTAATTACTAAGGCTAAATGAGGATTATAAAACAGTTTCAAGAATAAGGATTATGATTTGCAGTTGATGGTTAGTTTTAGAAATTAGAAGTATGATTCACATCACCAACTGACATAACCTAAAATGCCAAAACTCTATTTAGCCAAATAGGTGAATAAATTTCAAGCCAAAATCCAAGACGTGTTATCTTAAATCTGATTAGTTCGTCCATGTCTTTAAATTAATCATAAGTCAAGTTAAATGTACTGTTATAAGGCATAACTTAACAATACAAATACCAGCCAATAATACATATATAAATATCTAAATTTTGTCATGCTTTTAAATGTCGTTAAACCTGAAATTTACATTTCATCATTGAATAAATGATTTATTTCAAATACGAGCTGAAATCTACCCAGACACA